TTCTGTTAACTTCTTGTTGCAAAAGCTTCTAGCAGAAAACTTTATTTTTTATTTATTTTATAATTTAGTTTATTTTTATTTTTGTACAGACAGGTTCTCGCTGTGTTGCCCAGGCTGGTCTCAAATTGCTGGGCTCAAGTGATTCTCTCCCCTTGCCCTCCCAGAGTGCTGGGATTACAAGTGTGAGCCACCATGCCCAGCTCAGCAGACAGATTTCAGACACTGTGTTTGATTACGAGAAATGTGCTCTTCAGCTGGGGAAGTCTGTACTGTAATTGTGTGTGTGTGTGTGTGTGTGTGTGTGTGTGTGTATGCAGGGAAGCCAAAGCTGTCCCACTGTATAACATAAGGGTAAATAATAATTCGGGGAGGAATATGAAATAGGTCCACTCATATTAAGAATGACCATAAAAAGCACACTTTGGGATTCTAAGTAGAAACTCTATATAATCCATCTAGCATCCCATAGGCTTTATTCAACAAAAAACCCCACGGTGTTAAGTTCATTTTAATATAGAGTGATTTGAATACTCACTGCAGAAGGCAGAATAAGCCCTTACCCCCAAAGATGCACATGCCCTAATCTCTGGAACCTGTGGATATTTTACCATACATGGCAAAAGAGACTTTGCCGATGTGATTACGTTAAAGTTCTTGAGATGGAAAGATTATCCTGGATTCTCTGGCTTGGCCCCATCTAATCACATGAGTCCTTAAAATTGGAACATTTTTCTTGGCTGTGGTCAAAGAGAGATGGGACCATGGAAGAATGGTCAAAGAGATGCAACGCTGCTTATTTTGAAGATGCAGGGAGGAAGCAACAAGTCCAAGATTTCCAATAGCAGGAAAAGGCAAGGAAACAATTCTCACCTTGTGTCTCCAGAAAGAATGCAGCCCTGCCAACATGTTGGGATAGCCCCATGAGGCACCAGTCAGAATTCCAACCAACAGAACCATAAGATAGGACATTTAAATTGTTTTAGCCACTAAATAAGTGACAATTTGTTACAGCTACAATAGGAATCTAACATACTCACTTTTTAGATTTTGTATGCTTTACAGTTTACAAATACTTTATCTCATATCTGGTTTTTTGTTTTTTTTTTTTTAATAAATAAGTGGAAAGCTCTAGGCAGAAATGAGTTCAAAATTGTAGGAAGTTAGAAATGGACAATTTTCAGCATCCAGTGGTTGACTGATTAATCCCTGTGCAAGAAAAAGCTGAAGTTTCTGAATATGTCTGAGATGACACGAAACAAAACAAAAATCAAATCCAGAGAACATCAGTCTCTGGCAAGCGGCTGCTCCCCAAAACGGTCAAAGGCAATTTTTCTCAGGATATTTTAAAAACTTCCAATGAACTCTTTTATGATGTTGCATTACACATTGTCAGGCCTCTTTATAGCCCTGTTTTAAACTAGACCAGTGGCCCATGTCCTATTTTCTTTTTTTTTATCCTTATGTCCTCAAACAGAGCTTGTTTTCTCCTCTTCTTGGTAATGAACACTACCCAGCCTTCTCTGAAGGTGTTCTTCCTCCCAATCTAGCTGATAGATAGCTATAGTCTCCCCATATTTCCCACTTCTTGTTCCCCTCTAAACACAAGTACATGGTCTTATTTCATTTGCAGGGTTTTTCCCTCTAACTGCTACAGTGAGACAGAGAGGGCATGAAGAATACGCAATGTGGGAAAGGTCTTCCAGCATGTGGCTCCTAGCTGATTAAAATCATGACTGCTGAGAAGTAAAGCTGAGCAGAAACAAAACGAAAAGATGACTGACCCACAAGGAATATAAAATTAAAATTTAATAATCGAGTCAAATCCTTAGTAGCTGTGGTTCTTGTGCATGAATAGATGCTCTGTGTGTGCATATATAATAACTCCAGCCCTGGACTTCTCTGTCTTTCTCCGTGGTGGAATTGTGTTATTCACAATGGCAACCCTGGAAGAAGCCATAGAGGTCATTTTGTTCAACCCCCACAATTTGCCAAGGAAAGACTGAAAGCCAGACAGACAGAGACTTGTCTGCTTTTTGACTTCTTTTTCTTTGCTTTTGAATCTTTTCCAGTCAGCAGCATATCAACCAATGATCAAATGAGATTATTCAGGCTGGGGTCATTCTATTCTTTATTCTTTTTGACCATTACAATCTCTCCCTTTACTTCTGTTCCTTCCTATCTCATCTTTAACACTATTAATCCATTTCTTTCATCATTTGCCTCTGCTTGATTTTTCTTTTATAGATAAACTGAGTCATCAGCAAGCATTTTCCTGGAAGTCAGCCTTATTAAACGTCCAGTCTATTTAAGTGACTTTCTATTTTATCCCATCTGCTGGATCGCAGCTTTTTGTTGATCAAACTTTCTTATCATGTCAAGTGTTAATCTTCTTTTAGCGATGGAGAAATTGCCAAACTAAAGTACTTTGGAAAATGAATACATTGACCTGTCATTTCAAAGTCCCCACAAAACCAAAGTCCTACTTGTCCTGTAGGTACATCTCTAACTGAAAATGTGAAGGCCATGTACAAAGACTCTGGAGTCACAGAAGCCCTGCAACCCTCAAAAAGAATTTTTTGAAAACATGGCAGGCCTGGCTATTTCACTATGGTGAAATATAACTCTATGGTGAAATATTATCATAGTGATTGCACTATAGGCAATCAACCCAAACTTGGTATAAAACATTAGGGTAGCTAATAGTCATTTAGTGCTTACAATGTGCTAAGTATTATTCTAAGCACACTACATAGATTATTTTATTTAATCCTCTGAGTTAGGTGCAGTTATTGTTCCTATTTCCTGTATAGGAAAATGTAGGCACCAAGCAATTAGGCCACTTGCCCCAAACCCAGAGGGAAGAATTTAGAGAGTTAGGTGGCATCTAGCCTTCTAACCTCTCTGCCAAACCACCTCTGATTTGAGGGTTAACATGAGTCAACCCACACCCACACCTTGTATGTGGAAAGAGCGTCTTCGAAGGCCACGCCCTATGATAAGTGGAGACACCATAGTTTCAGGCTCCAGCAAGCATATACAGCAGTAGGTAGGGGCCTCTCTTGTCTTGTAAAACCCAAAGGAAAATGTCCTAATGCCCCAGAGCCTCCTGGCTGGCACCACAATGCAGCAACACTGTGAGGATGGGTAGCTCTTACACTGCTCTCACCACTTTAGATACACTTTATGATAAACTGGCTAATGATTAGAAGTGCATCTCAGAGCTATCAGCCTAACTTAGATGACACAGACTCCTGGATCAGGTCTTGCCTTTCCCTGACTTTTTTGAAGTCTAGAGTCTCATTTTGCAATGGTTCAGAATTGGAACTGGACCACCTGCCTGAGGCTGCTTGGGCTGCCCACACAGCTTGTAAAAACTGTATGTTAACATGAAATGCAGCTGCAAAACAAACCTAATTTTCCTCACAGTAAGTTATTCCCCTAAGAAATCAGGATTAGTGTGACAGGTTTGTGCAAAATACTCAAACAAGGGTCACCTTCGGCCAAGTAGTCCACCATGTTGGAGGGTTCACTAGTCAAAGTGAGGATGGAAGTTTTTATCTATTGCTACACTTTTAAATATCACCTCTTTAGAAATGCTTTTCAACCCATTTCTCCAGCAACTGCCTGTCTTTCTAGAACCTGATCCATATTTCCAACTGGGACTAAAGCAAACCATATTTTCTTCCTTATGTTACTAAAGGGCACCATCATCCACCAAGTTACAGAAACCAAAAGCCTTGGAATTAACCAAAACTTGGAATTCACTCCAGCCCAGGATGGAGTGCAGTAGCATGATCTTGGCTCACCGCAGCCTTGACTTCCTAGGCTCTAGCAGTCCTCCCACCTCAGCCTCCTGAGTAGCTGGGACTACAGGTGCAGCCCACCATGTCTAGCTAATTTTTGTGGGTTTGCTTTGTTTTTTGTTTTTGTTTTTGTTTTTTTGTAGAAATGGGATTTCACCATGTTGCCCAGGGCTGGTCTTGAACTCTTGGGCTCAACTAACTGATCGGCCTGCCTTGGTCTGCCAAAGTGCTCAGATTATAGTTGTGACCACATTCAGCCAATAACCTCATAATTATCCTCTACCTCCATATTTTCTGCATCCAATTAATTTTCTTCTCTATCGTTGGCCATTTTTCTCAAAATGTCACCATGTCATTCCCATGCTTAATTACCTTTTGTGTCTCCCTAGGAACATAATCCAGTGATTTTATGTAGCATATATCTTTTATCACAATCTAGTTTTGACCTATATTTTGGCTCATCTCCCATCATTACTCTATGTCAGGTCTTTCCATACTCTCCCAGGGAAAATGTATCATTTCCATCATGAGTTTCTCATTTTACCATTTGCTTATAGCATTAATCACATTATAGTGTATCTTTTTGTGGGTGTGTCTTTCCCATTTCTAAAGCATAAGCATTTCATGAAGGAAGGAACGCCATCTGATTCAGCACCACATCCCCAACTGCCAAACATGGAATTTAATATTTGGAAAGTACTCATTAAGGCTGGATATGGTGGCTCATGTCTATAATCCCAGCACTTTGGAAGGCTGTGGCAGGAGGATCACTTGAGCTCAGGAGTTTGAGTCCAGCTTGGAAATAGTGAGACCGCATCTCTATTTTTTAAAAATAGAGAGTACTCCGTGACTATTTGCTCAATAAATGAATATAGGCAGTGTCACCTAATTTTATGTTGGACATTAGGACAAATGTTTATATATATAAGCAATACATCAATATATGAGTAGCACATGTGTGTATATATATATATATATATATAATGTGTGTATACATATATATATACACACACACACACACACACACACACACATACATACACACACACATGTACTACCCATATATTGGTTAATCAATAATTATTTAGTAGGAGGTAGTAGATCAAAAAATTATAAACTTTGGAGTCAGATACCTGGTTTAAAATCCTGGCATTGAGGCATATTAGCTAAGTGATCACGGGTAAGTCAGTTAAACTCTTCAGTACATTTTTTCATTTTTTAAATGTGGATAATAATGTGGCATGTGGGTGACAAATAGAGGCAAGATGAGGCAATGTGCGTAAATGACAAGGTTGGTTTTTAACAAATGACAGTATGGCAGAGCAACTCCTGTGGACTAACTCAAATAATCTGCAGCCTTTCAAGTCCTTTTTAATCCTAAACTTGTGGTTTAACTAAATTGGGCGCTCTGTAGGCAGACTCTTAAGAGAAAAAGCAGCTCATTTATAAGTTAAATTGGACAACAAGATTAAAATGGCTAAAATTAACTAGATTCCCATTTTCCAACACATGGTTTCAGGGTAAAAAAAGTCAGAGATTCAGATATTTCCCCTGGGTTGATAGTATTTTATGATGAACCTGACAGTAGGAAGCCATGTGGAGCAGATCGCCATATTTTCTGTGCAAGAAGCAGTAAAGTGTTTAAGATTTTGGGTTCTGGAGACAGTTTGCCTGGGTTCAAGCTGGAAAACTATGGGTAAGTCTCTTAAATGCTGCCTCAATTTCATCATCCTTAACATGAGGCTAAACGGAACATCTAATTCATAAAGTTGTTATGAAGACAAATAGCATAATAAGTAAACGCCTAGTGTATAATCAGTGCTCAATAAATATCATTTATGACTTGAGTGGCCATATAATTTATCATCACATTGGGACAGCTTTGAAAGTAAAAAGTGTTGTTAAGAATGGCAGCATCTTAGGATTAAACTGGGATTTTCCTGGTCAAACAGAGATGCACGGTCACACTGGCTGCTACAATGATGATGTAGTATGATGATGATGGTGTCATGCATGCAAGCTGGAGATACTTCCCTTTTAGTCTTTAGCATGTCCAACTGACACGCGAGCACCAGTTGAAGTTCAGGATTCACATACATCTTCCTTGTCTCCATTATTCCCCACCAAGAATCATCAACCATTAGCTGCTACATCAAGCCAAAGGGAAACACAAAACATGCTGTTTTCCTCCTGAGACCCAAGCAGACAAGATGAAGTTTAATTATTCCTGTATTAAATAAACTACTTTATTTTATTTGGGGAGTCCAGTTTGATAAATGACAATATTTGGCTGAGACCTGTTAACTCACAATTCATGTTTTTGTTTTGTTTTTTTGTAAAGATGGGGTCTCACTCTGTTGCCCAGGCTGGAGTGCAGCGGCACAATCTCAGCTCTCTGCAACCTCCGCCTCCTGGGTTCAAATGATTCTCCTGCCTCTGCCTCCAGAGTAGCTGGGACTACAGGTGCTTGCCACCACACCGAGCTAATTTTTTTTGTATTTAAGTAGAGACAGGGTTTTACCATGTTGCCCAGGCTGGTCTTGAACTCCTGAGCTCAGGCAATCTGCCTGCCTCGGCCTCTCAAAGCGCTAGGATTACAGGTGTGAGCCACCATACCCGGCCCAATTCGTATGTATTATTTAAATTTCTGACCTTTATTTTCTGTAGAGATGGGGTCTTGCTATGTTGTTCAGGCTGGTCTTAAATTCCTGGCCTCAAGCCATCCTTCTTCCTTGGCCTTCCAAAGTACAGAGATTATAGGTGTGAGCTGCCGTGCCTGGCCTTACTGAACTTTAATAGCTTTGGGTGTGGCCTTGGGTCCTTCTTTTGTTCCTCTTTTTCTTTCTTTTTGTTAAATTATGGCAGAAAACCAAATACAGAGGGAAATTCCCAACCGCAGGCTGCAACTTGCTTAACCAATTTTAGCCAACTTACAATGTCAGATAATCACATTAAGAAAGTCAGTAGCTATTGGTCTTACATTATTTAGGACACACCTAACTATATACCCAATATTTTGCTAGGAATTATTCAAGACATGGTCTCACAAGAAGTTTTCAATCTGGTCCAAAACACAAAAGAAACATTTGTGAAGCAGCGATGATATGAGATTACATGTAACAGAAACAGATCTGTCATGCAAATAAGCTCAGCAAGAAAAGAAAATCAGCCAGGGCCGAAGCTCTCAGGGGAACACTTGCCACGAGGGTAGGTTTTGAGCAGAGCCTTCAGGGTGCTGCCATCTCAGTAGATGGAAAAGAGACAGGAGAACCCACCAGGTGAGGAGGTAAGTACAAGATAAGACAGGGCTGGGAGTTAGGACTGAGGAAAAACCTGACAATGCACAATTTTAAAAAACCCTCTCTTGGCTGGGGGCTGTGGCTCACACCTGTAATCCTAGCACTTTGGGAGGCCAAGGCTGGCGGATCACCTGAGGTGAGGAGTTCGAGACCAGCCTGGCCAACATGGTGAAACCTCATCTCTACTAAAAATACAAAAAGTAGCCAGGCATGGTGGCGCATGCCTGTAGTCCCAGCTACAGGGGACTGAGATGGGAGAATCACTTGAACCTGGGAGGCAGAGGTTGCAGTGAGCCGAGAGCATGCCACTGCACTCCAGACTGGGTGACAGAGTAAAACTCCATCTTGAAAGAAAAGAAAAGAAAGAAAGAGAAAAGAAAGAAAGAAAGAGGAAAGAAAAGAAAGAAATCTCTCTTATAGACAGGGACATCCAGGCAACTAAAGGGACCAGGCAATAAGAAAATGGCCTCCATTTTGAGGCTCAATCATAGGTTTACCTAACACCTAGCAGATCCACTACAGGATTTCAGACTTTTAAAAAGGCAACAACATGAGTTGAGATTGTTGCAATCATCTCTTTATTAGCCTTTTCTCTGTTCAGGAAGGGCCATGGGGAGAAATGCCTCTCAAAATTAATCATGAACTCTATCAGTAAGGCGACATCAAAGCACAAGTCAAATAAGATCATCCATTTTGAAATGTGACTTTCAGGCTTGAGGTCCTTAAAACATAACAATATAAAAATTACAAACATATTGGCTTCCCAATGGGGAAGAAAAGTTTTCTTGGAAGCACAGCTTTCAAGCCTGGCAAATAACTCAAATAAGTTTCTGCAATGCCCTCCCCTGGCAGTCATAAACCTTTACTACTTGGCATCCTAATTGTACCACATATTATTGCTTAATTAAAAGTGCTTCTTTTAATAGATCAATAGACTTGCTTTTAGGAGCTGCCATAATAACACCTATACCTTTTTATTCAAAATCGTAAGAGGTAGTCAGGAGAGATGACATACACAGCCTTAAAAAAATCTAAGCTGAAATGTGCATGATACGACATGCCATTTTGTTTCTGGTTACACGTAACACAAATCACAGCTCTTTGAAACAGAAAAACCTGAGCCAATTCAAACTAATGACCTGGCTCCTGTTTCTGAAGTGGGTGGGGGTTTACATGAAACCTTTTTATGCTTCTCCTAAACAGAGTGAACCCCTGAGTTTTTGACCTTCCTGAACTGCAGCCAGAGGGCAAAGGCCAACCAAAGTGTATTAAAAATTAGCACACAAGGAGGAATAAGATTGCATGTTCTTTTCTATTATCTGAAAACCCCAGTCCCATTCTTTCTTCTATATTTCTTCTTTCAGATTTTCTGCTGTTCTCTTTCCTGGAAAATTTGTTGCAAAAGAGTGGTTCTTCACCATTTATGGGGACACAAACCTCTTTGAAACCTGATCCAAACTATGAACCTATCTCAGAAAATGAGCATACACTCAAAGCCTTGCAGAAATTTTCCGAAAGTCCACAAAACCTTTAAACTCATGTAGACCTCCAATGAAGAACCTCCAAATGTTCTCCAATGACATTTAACAAGAAAAAATAAGACAGATGTTTAATGTTACTTTAGAAATACATTGAGTCTGAAAGGGATTTTGTTTGTGATCCTTAGCTTAAACAGAACAATGAGTTCATAACTACCTAGTTCAGCGTTGTCCAATTTTTTGGCTTCCCTGGGCCACATTGGAAGAACTGTCTTTGGTGACACATAAAATACACTAATACCAATGATAGCTGATGAACTAAAAAACATTGCAAACAAATCTCATAATGTTTTAAGAAAGTTTATGAATTTGTGTTGGGCCGCATTCAAAGCCGTCCTGGGCTACATGCAGCCTCCAAGCCATGGGTTGGACAAGCTCGATCTAACTGATCAGTATGCCATGCTTTGCTTCTCCTCCAAGTTTTATGCTGACTCTGGAGGAGGTCACAGATATTTGAGAAATTCTTATCCTTGTGTTTGGGCAATTGCCACAACAAAATTTGTTCTGATGCACGTCTGCGATTGCCCTGCCCCTGAGAGCCATAGTGGCTTGTAAAAGAAAGAGCACGTCCTTCTAGATAGGCCTCTCCTTGCTCAATGAAAGCAGACTTTTCTGGAGGAAGTTTTAGAGGTTGCTTTTTTTCTTTTTAATTTAAATCTTTCAGTTTTAATGTAACCTTTTCTGGTTGACTCATAAACCCAAAGTGAAATTCAGGTTCATAATCTTCACATCTGGCATTGTTTTGGCTTCTCACAATATAAAAGCCCCTGGCCCCTTCACCTTATAAATATGAAGTATGCAACAAAACTCTTTGCCTCATGGGAAAAAATGGGCTGTCAGGGTTTTCTTACCTGTCAGAGGCGCAATCTTGGTCGTAATCACTTCACACAATGAGCTTTCTTCTGTGACTCTACTTGAGCAAAACAGCCCTGGCCATCCAGTAAAACAAACTGGGCTACAGGAAAACCAGCCTCACTCATGGCGCCCGCAAGGTGATAAAGTGCAGAGCAGTGTCCTGTCCACCAGCTTCATGGGCCTGGGTATTACTCCCCATTCATCCCGGGCCCCATTCTAAGGTCAAGTGGAAATAGCTGACTGACCTACACGCTGGATGCTTTAGTGCATACACTCAATGTTTACACGTCTCTATAAGGTAGATGATATTATTTTGCCTATCGTACATATTAGAAAACTGAGGCTTGGGGAAGATAAGTAACTTTCCTGAGGTTCCACATTAGTAAGTGAGGTTGTATGAATCTGAGCATCAGCAGCCATCACTGCACTGCATTCCCATGGCTTGCTGCCTGGTTCTGGCTGATGTTGACCATTTTTTCATGTGCATGATAGAGAAATGTATATTCAAGTCCTTTGCCCATTTTAAAATTGTGTTGTCTTTTTATTGTTATAAGAGTTTTTTATGTATTCTGAATACTAGGCCTTTATCAGATATGTGATTGCAAATATTTCCTCCCATTTGGTGGGTTGATTTTCAACTTTCTTGATTCAACTCTTGATGTACAAGTTTTTCATCATGATGAAATGCAATGTGAAGAAACAGCCTCTAAAAGCTTTTAATAACAGAAGCTGAAAAACTCACAATGGCTCACATGGAAGGTCAGCCAGGCAATGAGTGAGTCTTCTAGCCAATGAAGAACTGCCGTTAGAAGGAGGGGGGTAGGCCAGGCGTGGTGGCTCACGCTTGTAATTCCAGCACTTTGGGAGGCCAAGGTGGGCAGATCTCTTGAGGCCAGGAATTTGAGACCAGCCCGACCAACACAGGGAAACTCTGTCTCCACCAAAAAAAAAAAATAGCCAGGTGTGGTGGCGTGCACCTGTAGTCCCAGCTACTCAGGAGGCTGAGGCAGGAGAATTGCTTGAACTCAGGAGGTGGAGGTTGCAGTGAGCTGAAAGCATGCCCATGCACTCCAAGGTGGGTGACAGAGCGAGACTCTGTCTCAAAACAAACAAACAAATGAAAAAGAGGGGAGTGGTAATCCTTATGGATTTATATCAGTTTCTATTTCTATTTGGTAGAAGATAAAAGTAGAATTCCCAATTCATTGTTGTGCTTTGGGTGGCCTGTGGACTGCCTTAATTCACTATTTCTGCTCTTTACAGGGAATACATTTTAAATCCTAGCAAATAAATCATCTTCTCATTGATTAAGCTGGTTTGAACTAAGAATACATAATACTTTTTTCCCTGAAATGAGTAGAAAACACTTCCAAAATAGCACAGAGTAAGTTGCTCAAACAGAACCAAAGACTAAAGGTTAACATGCAAGGAAAATGGGATTTGATGAAATTCATCCTGTTCTCTGTGAGCCCCCAACCCAATCATTTTCCTTTATTCC